TTGGAAAAAGTCATAGATAGTATTACTACCTGCTAAAAGGTAATCAAGAAAACATTAGTGACTACTGAATCATATGCCTACTTTCCCATCTCTATGAAATCTTTGAATATAATCTACATATTTGTAAAGAATCTTTGATGAAGGTATGAGTAAGTGATATTCAATAGTACACCATGTATTTATGTCTACCTAACTGAATGAAAGAAGTAGAGAATATAAAAACCCACTGTGTTTATTGATATCTAATTAATATTTGTTGATTTGTTTAATTTAATTAAAACAAAATTTAATATTTCATCAATAACAATTTAATCATTAATCAAAAACAATTTTTAAAAACCCCACCATTTTGTTTAAAAGAGCAAAATGTTGCCTTAAATGGTCTCATCCAACAAGGTGCCTTCAATGCCTTATAGAGCATTGCCTGGGTTCACTCCCCACAATCCCACTGACATTGGCAGGTTGGGTCCCCAGAGGGTAGTTGACTACTTCTTCCATAAGGATTCTCAAGGAAACCCTAAAGGTTTGACATAACTCTCCATATAGGAAAAAAATAAGTAGGTGAAGAATGGCTAAAGTTTAGGCTATGATATCCAGTTGATTATGCAGCCCATGGATACAGTCCATAAATATTTATATCCTGGGCAGACATGACAGATGGACAATGGATTGGGGCCCAGAATTGAATAGGATGTAAGCAGGCTGGATTCCATTTGAGAAACTGCATAGTATTTATAATGAGCCCAAACTTCTCCCTGAAACAAAGGCCCATCTTTTTTTTTTTTTTAAACATCAGTGGTTTTCTGGTGAAGCTGTATGGCTGCCAACCATCAACCATCACATCCTCTGAAGCGGTAAGAACTCTGAACAATACAATGACAATTCATAATTCCAGAGGACTGATGATGAAACATACTTACTCTCCATGACAGATATGGGATAAATTTAGGGTGCAGAGAAGATGTCTGTATTTATATCTTCAACTCTATATATCTATATTTCTATCTAGATATGTGTGTGTGTATATGCACACATGTATTTGTGTATAATCATAGAGAGAATTTGTTTTATTTGACTATACATATTTATTAGAAATTTGTTTATTTTTCCTTTTCTTTTTTCCCCCGATGGGATGAGGGAGGGGAGAGACAGAAATGAGATTTTTATTTTCTTTTTTTCTATAATTTTTTTTTAATAGAGAAGTGGGATATGCTACAGATGTGAAATGTATGTACTTTCAAATGAGGTCACTGCATTATTAGTTTTATTTAACTGTTTACTTTGTTATAAGAGACCTCTTATGCAGTGGGGATAATCTATAAATGTATGTAATATAAAAACAAAACACATCAAATAAGCTAAAAGTGACAAAGGATTGAAGTTGTGGGTCATCTGCAGAATAATGAAGAGACAGATGGTGGGCATGAGTAGACTTCATTAGCAATGAAGATTGGAGGAACTATCACGTGGAAAAGGGTTTAGACTTGTTTTGCTTGGTCCCAGAGGGAAGAACTAGGAATAATGGGTGGAAATTGCAAAGAGGAAAGTTTAGGCTTGATGTCAAGGGAAAATGTACTAATGATTAGAATTCCTTCCTCAAGAAGTCCTGGGTCCCCACCTCACCTGAGGTCTTCAAGCAAAGGCCGGATGGCTATTCATCAGGTATGTTAGAGAGTGCATCTTTTTTCTGGTCTGAGTTGGACTAGATGGCTTCCGAAGACCTCCAAATTTGAAATTCTGAGATTCTATAATTATGCTGGTGAAGTGACATAAAGATTTTCCCCAGAGAGAAATTTGAATGGAAAAGGAGATGGGCCATTCCTGCAGATAAGTGAGGGATAATGGATGGATAGCCACGTGTTTTGTTGCTACCCACACAATACCAAGAGCTCTAGAGGAAAGTCCCCGAGTTATGGAAGATTTGGGAGTAGGGGACATGAATCAGATTCACAAAAGATGAAAAGGCATAGATATATTGCAATCTGCACCACTAACAACCTAGATCCATTGAAATATCAGGTAAATGTCAAGCACTGTGTTTGGTGCTAGGAATACAAAGACAAAAACAAAACTGCCCCTGCCCTCAAGAAGCTTATGTTCTATGTCCTTTGTTATTTCTCTCTAGCAGCTTTTGGGACTTTTTTTTTTCTTAGCAAACTCTAAGAGATCATTCAGCTATTAATAGCTAATGGTAGATGTTGCAACAGAACTCAGGTCTCCCAAATCCTTCTGGTGCTCTATCCATGTGGGTCTCTCCTGTTGTTTCTCTCAGTTTTCCCACATTTATTCCCCACAACTTCCAATCTTGTTTTTGTATTTCTATCCTATTCAGTACTTCTCCTTTCTCAGTCTCCAATTTTCTTCTCACATCATTCTTGTTTCCTCTTCCCATGCTCTGCTCATCCTTCTTCAAATATTGTTTTTAGACGAAAACAGAAATCATTCCCAGCTAACAAACCACAACCCTTGGTAAGATGTACTTTATGAAACATTTGTAAAAGGAAACATAGTCAACAGACTTGTATAACTTATATTCTATTCCCTTTGAAATCAGGGGAATGGACCAGATGACCCTTAGTTGCCCCCTTACAGCCCTATGATTCTGTAAAAAATGACCTTGGTTGCAGAGGTAATACCCTGGTAATATTATGCTTGACATTTAATCAAGTGATGTGAATGAGTCATTGCAGTTTCTCAGAAGAGCTGCTGCAGTGTGGCTGAAATGAAATCAGGATAAGGGGCTAACATGGGTAGACACTGACCCCAACCCCCACCCCCCAAAAAAGTCTGCTTTGAGTATAGACCATTCTCTAGACTTTCTTCATCAGAAATCAGAAATCTAAAAAAAAAAGCTATAAATTGAATAAAATCTTTTGTTGGTGAAGCTGGATTTTCTCTAAGCTTGAGAGACGTTATTTTAAATGGATCACTCCTTGCAAGGGAAATGGTGCTGTGTTTATAGAAGAAACCACTGATTCGCAAGGGTTTTCATTATAATCCATTCAATTTATTCATGGGGGGAGCTACAGAGGCTACCACAGGTCAGGTTTTTTGTTTGTTTGACTATACCAAAGTACAATAGAATAATAACTTAGATTTTATAAGTTTTCAAAATTGGATTATCAATAAGCAGCATTAGTTTAACTCTGGGGAAATATACCAAATAGTTGTCTGATGACTAGGTCATATTTTCTTGGAGAAAAAACTAGAAAAGACTAGAACTGCCAGTTCAATTCAATTAGCATTTATTTAGTGCCTACTATAGGCAAGATATTATGTTAGGTGCTAGGGATACAGAGACAAAAATAAAACCATACCATACTCTGTCATCTCTTACTCTATATCTCATGGACCTTACATAGGATGCTGACCAATTCCCAGTTCTTGGGCTGATATCATTAAATTCTGACCACAGAGCATTCATTGGCTCTGATCCTAGGAATCTGCCAGGCCTACTCACTAGATTCACTAGTCTGATTGTGACAATGGTCATATTGACTTACCCTTTGAAAAATAACTCACATTTTTATAACCCTTATATAATTATATTTTCTTCACAGCAATCATGTAAAAGAGGAAGATCATCTATTATTATCCTGGTTTTACTGTTGAGGAAACTGAGAGTCAGAGGTCAAGTGAATTGCCCATGGTCACATAATCAGGCAAATCTTTTGAATACATATCTAACACTCTTTCTTCCACACTACACTTCCATTAATCTGTTTTGCAATAGGGCAACTATGCATACTGGCATATCCTTAAATAATTAAGGCTATGAGTTTTTAAAAAATCATAAGCTCTGCCTCTCCTTTTATTTTTATGACAGGTTTTCATTAAATCCGTAACTGTGTCTAATATAATGACTAAATCACTTAATTTGGGCAATCAAGTTTTTAAAAATCAGTTAATTCTGTTTTTAGAACATCAGTCAAAATGATTATTTGACATCTTGGGTCTGCATAGATGAAGCAACAATATTTTTTCACTTTTCAAATGGACTGACAATATGCTGGCATGTCCTGGGTCTTTTATATTCCTATCTATGTTGTTAGTTAACAGGCATTTACTGAGTATCAAAGTAAGTCACTGGGAAATTTTATACCCCTTCAGGTCCCCACCTGAGAATCATTTCACTATCAGGCTTAATCTTTTTTTTTTCAATCATCCAGAGTTGAAATCTATCGCTCATGAATTATTATCTCCCACCTCCTTTTCTTGGAATACATATCATTAATGTTGTCTTTTATGCAAGTTATCACATGTATAATTGTTGGTAATATACTGTAGTCAACATATATTTACCATGCCTCTTGGGCCACCTGAAATTGCAAATCCTCTCAGATTATGGTGATCAAGAACTCAAAGCCACATAGCATCTCTGGGAGAATATTGGTATTAAAAAGAAAAATAATAGATGGATAACCTGGATGTTACACTGGTATCCATGACGTATTAAAAGAAATAGAGACAAGCTTCTAGCATGTTGGATAGATTCTGTAAGGAGTCACAGAAAGACATGGACAAGAGTATTTTGTCATAAGGGGGTGTGCCTAAATTGCTACCTGCACCAGAAGAGGGAGTACACATGCCAGGGAAATCACAGATCAATTTAAACATAATTCTTAGAGTTGAATCTCAACTGGAAAAGTCCATGAAAGATGCAATGACCAATCCTAATGCCCCAGGACTAATGCTGTAGCATTCTATCCACCTCTTGACAGAGATGATGAACTCAATGTAGAATGAGTTACATTTTTAGACACAGTCAATGTGGGAATCTAGTTTGTTTGACTACACATATTTATTACAAGGGTTTTGATTTTCTCTTTTTTTAATGGAAGGAGTTGAGTAGGGACATAATAGAACTAGCATTATTGTTAACAATAGGTTTGGAGAGAGGGAGAGAGAGGGAAAGAGAAAAGGAGAGAGAAGAAGAAGATGATGAAGAAGAAGAAGAAGAAGAAATAATGTCACTGAGGTATTTTTTAAAATGCACAGAAGAGAACAGAAAGAAAACCAGAAGGAAACATAGACAAAGAGATGTATTTTGAAAGTAACATGTTGAATTTATTATATACCTAAATGAAAGGCAAGCTATCCACAATAGAGACTCATGGTTTAATGTACAATTCTACTTTTCTGTTCTACTTTATATATGAAAATGCTCAGTTTATTTAGTGTTTATTAAGCCCTAATTAAAAAAATAATAAAAGTATAATAGGGGTCTAGTACATACCTTGACCACTTCTACATAGAGGATGCTTGTTTGTTGCTTACAGGAGAATCCTGATGATATGTGAGGGAAGTGCCTTAGAGGGACCAGACTGTTTGATAACATTCTATCACTGACTCCAGTTGGCCCACCTTGTGGTTGAAAGGAGCCTTTTTCTATTGGCTGTGTAGTTGGAGTTGTTGGAGCCTTCTAAAGGGCCTGAGTCAGCTACAGCTACCTCTTTATTACATTCTGTGAAGAAAGTAACTCCTTTTGGTCTAGTGAGTGACTGCTGTAAAAGGCCTCAGGGCCCTCTTCCCCTCTAAGGCCATATAGTTCCCAAGAAACAAGGCTTCCTTGGTCCTTTCATTTTTTCTTTTCCATCCTGGGGGTGAGGAGTGGAGTATCCAATCTGGGTCGGGACAGGAGTTAGCAGAATCCAAGAATCATAATCTAGGCCAGGTTTTACAACCAGCACATCAATTCCCTAAAGAGCAAGGTGATCTTTGGGAGTGACCTTAGGTCCCTGAGGCCAGCTGAAGATTCATCCACAGATGCTTTTTCTAAGTGAACTTGATGGGACCAGTGCAATTCCTGCCCCTACTCATCTCACAAAGACTGAAGTCCTAAGTGTATGGGGAAGTGGAAATTATACACCCCAATATTGGAGAAAATACTTGTAGGTTTGTTCCTGTCATACTCCTTTGTAAAAGCCAACTGGTCCAAAATCATTAAATGGAACTGGAGTGCTAGTTACTGGTTCCCTAAATTGGGGAAACACTTCAGGCTAGGGTTTAAGTCAATGGCAATAAAGGAAAGTAACTTGGGCCCTTGAGGAGGAGATCTAGCAGGCCTGGATCTCAGATAGCCAGAGTACACATTCCCCTTCCTGCCTCAGCCACTTCACCCAAACAAAAGCCAGTGAAAGAAAAAACAAATCATGAAAGATCTGAATCCAGTAAGCCCACCCCAAACTGAAGGGCTCAGAGGTCAAAAGCTCCAAGGAGCTCCTATCCAAACCCTACAAATCTTCAGACTCCTCTCAAGGTATACCTCCTCGAAGGAGCCTTCTCCGACTACTTTGCCTTTCACTGATAACTTCTTTTCTCTGAACTCTTACAGCACTTACTTCTCATCTTCACTTCACAATTTAGCATCTACTCCTCTGCTTCATTCAGAATTTACCCACTGTATGTTAGACTTGTCTCTTTCAACTAAACTGTCATGTTCTCCAGATCAGAAGGCACTTCCTCCCTTTTCCTTACAACTTGTCTAGCACAGAGCATAGTCAAGAAATGCTTGTTTATTGACTGTTTGAAAAAAGAAAAAGTTATTTCCTTCATTCTTCAAAACAGGTAGAAAATAGAGGCTGTGGTAAGGAAGACAGTGGGAGTGCAATGATTAAGAAGTATTTTCATCACAAAAGTCTATGATTCTAAGAACGTGGCTTAGCCCAAAGCACATTTTGGGGAGTTAAGGGCATTTTTGGAGGACCCCAGAAATTTTTCTTAGCCAGACTACAAAGTAGCAATAGTTTAGAGAATCATTTAAAAATGAACATAATTGTCTGGGAGCCCTCATCTTCATCATTTAAATGTTTACAAAAATGAAAGCACTCAGGGCTAAAATAAAAATAAAAATAAAAACTATCTGAGCACACCAGAGACAATTATATCGAGACCTTTGATAGGAGAGGGTGAGATAGAACAGAAAGGCAATTTATAGAGGCCAGTCAGTGACAGCAGCAGGGAATGAATGCAGCCTTCAAGGAACAGTGAAAAGTGTGATAAAAGAAAAGAAAGAAAGGCGATGACTGAGTGACCAGAAAAGAAAAGAAAATCAGTGTGCATGGGAGTCCAAATCACTTGCCTGGAATTATCAGGCACCTGAAACAACAAGGTCAAGAATGTGACCTGAATGGTGGTATGAAAAATTTGTTTCAGAAGCCACATGCTGAGAGAGACCAAAAGAGTTAAATTGGAAAGCCAACTTTCTTGATGCTGGATTAGACCAAATACCAAGGTGAAGATTCAAATCAGGCAAAGCCAGTGGGAGTTCTGGAAAATAAGGGAGAAAATAGGAAACTGGTGTAGGATGGAAAAGAAAAAAACCCCACATACACACACACACACACACACACACACACACACACACACACACACACAGAGGAGTGGGAGAACCAGTGGTACCTTTAAGAAAAATGGTAGGCTCAAATAAAAGGACACAGAGGCTCACAGGATGCCCTTTAGTATGAGAACCTAGTGATGAAAAGAAAGGCTTAGTAAAGGAACCCTTTCTGCCCCTCCCCCCCGCCTGCTTCCGCCCTCTTCCCAGCTCAACTCCATGCAGCAAAGACATCCGGATTCCAGGCAGCCGAAGGACAAAGGGCTCTTTTCCCTGGTATGCTTTCCTGTTCAGTTGGGATTGTTGGCTCCAACTCTGATCAAATTAATGGTATTGTGTGCTTGGACAACCAGGGGCTTTGGTGACCAGGAGCACAAGGCTGTTTCCCTGTCTCCTTATGAGTACCTTTGGTCTCATCCTCTCAAGATTACCCTTTCACTAGGAGGAAAACTTCCCTAGGTCTATAAATGCTGCTGGTGTCACCATGACATGCTGACACTGGCCCAAAGGGAGGAAGGTAGCGTCTGTAAATGGGCATGTTGCTTCTGGCCTGGCTCCCCCTCTCCGTCATTCTGATTGACATCTCCTAATTTCTTCCTCCGAAATCCCGGCAATGCAAACCAGAACCAACCTTGCTGCCCAAGGGAGTCTCTGTGAAAACTCTATTTAGAATAGAGAGAGGCAGCTCTCTAGGGGTGTTGGCAAATACCTTGGACTGGGAATCCAGAAACCTTGGTCTCAGTTCCGCCTTAGCCAGCCTGGTCATGTGAGCTTGGGTAAGACCTTCGGGGCTTCCATTTCCTCATCTATAAAATCAAATGGTAAAAGGGAGTAATCTTGAGATCTCTGTCAGGTTTGAAATTCTGATTCTCTCCTGGTTGAGGGTTCTTTAAGAAGAATAATTGTTTTGTCCCACAATACCATAAGTGTGTGCATGTATGTCACCTACAGTAAACAGTGGAAGTTGGGAAAAAGACAGAGTGAAGAATGAATTCAAGAACTAATTCATATAGCATCTTTCTCCACAATTCATCAATTCAGAAAAAAAAAAAAGTAGAGTCCTATGTTACCTGCAGAGTCTTTAGAGGATGCTTGGGGTGATACCTTCTGGTACAAGGGTGTGCTGGAGCCTGGTCTTACTGGCTGGGGAGAACTGGTTGTTAAATTTTCAGTGTGACCATTAACATCTCAGGATCTATAGGAATCCACGAATGTTACACATCAGGGTTTGATTTATTGTTTTGTTGACGATCTAGGCTTAAGAAAGTGATGGAGAAAATTTAAATAATGAAGATTAAAGTTAAAAGTATGTCCTGCTAACTTTGAAGAGCTAGTTGTTAAACATTTATTCCAAAACACCACTTTCTATAGGAGATACTTCCCTTACGCTGTACTACTGAGAGAGAGAGAGAGAGAGAGAATGTACAAAAATATGTATTTAGACCATCTCAGAATAATGCTTTTCAAATGCATTAAATAAAATATGTAGGATTAGGAAGGAAATAAATTATAGTGAAATAATTACCAAAATATTATTTAAAAATAAGTTCAGAGATCTCAGGATAGGAACCCCTAATTTTATACTATTTAGAGGATTATTATCATAACTAATAAAAAGAACTTTCATTTCCATAACCTTTCATAATTTACAAAGTTCCTTTTAAACATTCTTTTACTGAAGTCTTCCTCCAGGGCTTGATTGGGGCAGATGATTGAAAACTGACCTAACCCACTATGTCCAGTTAGGCCCAGATGATGCTTCATATCGCATCTAGCCATTCAGCTGGAAACCTGGGTCTACTTAGGCATCCTGTCATCTATCCTGCAACTACACTTGTGTTTGTTCTCCATTCCCACACCCCACATACCTACACTGTTTTTTTTACAGTAATCAGATTGATATTAAATTGCTATTGGAAAGTGTATGGGGGCAGCTAGGTGGTGCAGTGGATAGAGCACCAGCCCTGAAGTCAGGAGGACCTGAGTTCAAATCCAGCCTCAGACCAAAACACTTGACATTTACTAGCTGTGTGACCCTATGTGACCATTAACCTCAATTTCAAAAAAAAAAAAAATGAAAAGTATATGGCAATCCACTGTCTTATAATTCCACTTATAGTACCTATGACTCCCCAAATTAAAACTCCCTTCTTCTGCCACAACTCCTTTATATATACTGTACCTTTCATTAGATTGTAAGCTCCTGCAGGCAAGAACTTTTTCATTTTTATATTTGTATCACCAATACCTAGCCAATACCCGGCACATAGTAGATGTTTAATAAATGTTTTTATTCATTCATTCATTCATTCATGATGGTGAATAATTTCACCACAATGACCATCTGGAGTTGTTATCTGCTGTCAATGGAGGGAGTACCACTACTGATGAAGATATAGATCCTTAATATATTAACATACCTATTATAACCATCACTTTGTTTGATTATTATAATGTCAGTGATGGAGCCAGTCACTATTATTTTTAGCCTCATTTTACCTGAACTGAAATTCTCAGAGATTAAGTGATTTGCCCACAGTCAGCATAAGGAGTGAGTGGTAGAGACGAGTCTTCTGGCTAAATGTCTGGTGCCCTTTTCATTGTGCCACGTCTACAGCTCCATCTTCAAATGTTCATCTGCCCTTGGAACTGGATAGAACTATTTTTCCTTCTTGCTTCACGCTCTTTTAGGAAGACACGGACAAAACGGAACAGGTTCTGAAGAGGACAAGCAGAATGATGACAGACTTGAATCCATATCATGTGAGGATCGACTGAAGCAAGGAGGGCTTTATCTTAAAGAAAAGAGGGTGCTTAGAGGGCACATGACCTCGATGGAAGAGACAACAGGGATCAAGGTATACAACAGATTCAAGATAGAAGCAAGGTCGTTCCAGAGGAAGGAAGCACCAACAACTGGGGTGGGATCAGGAGAGGCTTTGGGTGGAAGGCGACACTTGAACTGAGTCTTGAAGGAAATTAGGGATTATAAAAGGTAGAGGTAAGGCAATAGTATGAGAAGAAAGAGCAGCCCCTCCTTCGCTGTATCTCTACCAGAAGTGTGCAGAAAACATTTTTTATAAGCCAACGTAGATAGAGCTGAGGCTTCTCCCCCAGCTTTCTCTGCTTTCTTGTGAGGGAAAACACTTTTCTAAATGAGATAATATTTGTAGAGCACTTAACACAATCCCTAGCACACAGCAGCCACTTGATAAATGCTTGTTGCCTTCTCTGTTTTGTTTCCCCGTTCCCCCTCCCAAGGTGCATCCTGAACACTCTTGGAAGACAACAGGACAAAAACCATGACTGAACAAGAGTCTCTGGAGATTAGCCCCCCATATTGGCAAAGGAAGAGAAATAAAAGGGCCTGTAAAACAGTCCACTTAATCACATGAATTGTTCCATATAATTTCCAGCAATGCCAAAGTCGGCCTGTTGCTGCGATTCTCATTGTGACCCTGGAGTAATTAAGCAGCTGCCAAGATTACACATATAACATGAATCAGCTCTACCTGGGATAGCTATTATAGTTATAATCACACCCTATTTGAAGTCTTGGGTTTAGAAAAATTGTTGAGAGCTCATGGATTGGGTGAAATTTAACTTGTGTTTCGTGGGAGAAAAGAAATAGCCCTGCTTGTGAAGATCTAGGCATCAATCACTGGTGGTAACAAGGCTGGCATTGTTTCAGCCTGTATTTTAAAATCTAATAAAAGTATTATCCCCTTAAAGAATCACATGGAGCTTAAAAAAAAAAGGCAGAAAACCTTGCAATAAAACACCAATGGAAATGATTTTCCATTCCCTTTACTCTTAGTTTAACTTCAGACACGCAACCTAGCACACAAAAACCCTATTTAACTGAAATATTGCTTTAAAAAAAAAAGGAAGGGTGAATTTTTGCCCTGGGAATTTCTCCTTTTTCTGTTTTTTTTTTTCCAGAAATAAGGCTTAAGAAATCATCTTGTCTACACTCTCATTACCCCTTGCTAACATTTGAACTTTTGATCATAATAATCCAATTTCAACAGAATCAGCAGGCCGTATTTCATACAATTTTATGAAACTAAATACTTGTGGTGGGAAGGTCCACTACTTGTCTCTAGTTTATATATAATAGAAAGCTAGAGCTGGAGGGGGCCTTTGAGCCAGGCCAGTTAGTACAGCCTTTTCATTGTCCTGATGAGAAGGCTGAAGCCTAAAGCAGTGAGCTTACTTACTCACACAGTCACTAAGTAACAGTCAGGATTGTTAAGTTTTCTGATCCCCTCAGTGCTGGTGTCTTCCTTTGCCCTGCCATTAGACTGTGAGCTCCTTGAAAGTGGGGACTGTTTTTTGCCTTTCTTTATAGCCCTAGCACTTAGCATGGTGCCTGGCATACAGCAAGTGCTTAATAAATGTGTTTTCTTCTGACTTCTGAGCCCAAGTTTAGTTCTCTTTCCAATACACTGCCCTTCTTCCTCTAATATTGAGCTTATCAATTCAATTCACTTCAGTGAGGACCAGGCATTGTGTGAAGTCCTGGAAATACACATAGGAGAAACGTCTTATTCTCTCACCTCCAGGAACTTACAGTCTAGTAAGAGGATGATGAGGTACATTGAAAGCAGGCCTTGAAGGATAGGCCTAAATTGGATAGGTGGAGCAGCCGAGAGGTTAGGGATGGGGCTTGGCCTTCTCATCCATAGAATCAGATAGAAATTCTGGAAGGTCATTTAGTTCCACTCCCTCATTCAACAAATGAGGATACTGAGGTGTTCAATGACTTGTTCAAGGTCACACAAGTAATTAGGTGGCAGAGTTAAGATTCAAACCCAGGTGCTTTGATTCCAAAATTATTGCTGTTTCTACCATACCACACTGTTCCAAGTGTCTTTGCAACATGCTACTTGGCAGCTGGCCAAGACCCTGTGTGACTTCAAGCAAGTCCTTTTACCTGCTTGGGCGTCAGTTTTGTTATTCTTAGAACAAGGAGGTTGGATTAGATGACTTCTACGGTCCCTTTCAATTCTAAATCTATAATCCTGGCCATGATGGATTAGTTAGTTGCCTACAAGGGCCCTTAGGGATAGGATCTGTAAGAGTTATTTGTTCATTTGTTTGTTCGCTTGCTTATTTATTTGTTTCTAATGGGATCAAAAAAGATACCGAGGATGAGGCCTGATCAGGCACACAGGTCAGATGTTTTATAGCTTAGCAGTAGGGTCTGCACCATTTTAACATGACTTTGCTTTGGAAGGTATCTTGTTCATTCCCTAGAAAGAGAATCAGCTCACAAGGGGGAACCTCAGAGATCAGCTGAGGAGGTAGCATGTTATAATGGAAAGAGTACCATCTCTGGAGTTAGAAGACCTAGGTCCAAAGATTGGCTCCACTGATGACCTCGGGACCAAGTTATTTGACTTGGGTTATGGTTAAATGACCTTGGGCAAGTCATTTAACCTCTGCTTCCTCATCAGTAAAATGAAGAAAGATCTGTTTTAGATCCATGTGCCCTCATTTTATAGATGAGAAGACTTGAGTCCCAGAGAGGGTAAGGGACTTAGCCAAGGGTGCAGAGGTAGCAAGCTGCAGAATTGAGAAATGAACTCAAGTCCTCTGACTCCAAACCCAGCACTCATCAACAGACCACATGGCCTCCCAACAATTAGATATAAAAGGCAGACTGACTGGTGAAAAGGGGGAAACAAGCAAATACCCATAGGTTGTGAGGAGAAAAACAGGAGCTAAATGGAATATTATTAGCATGACCTTTTCCCTCCCAAAGGTACCTGGGGAAGAGCTAGCTCTCTGGGCCCAAGCAAAATACGTACCAGGTGCACTGCATTATGCCCTCCTGGCAAAAATCCTCCTTTTAAGATGCAATTGGAGGAAACCATCCGTCCACCTCCCTTTGATCCCTCCCTGCTGGAAGAAGGACTCACCTTTCAGGAGATGCCCAGGTCAGTCCCCTTTCAGACCTCTGTTTCAATCTTCCTTTCCCCTCAGGCCTCCTTGTCAATTCTGGGTCAACCACCAGCAAGCTCACTGGCAGGACCTCAGTTGTTACTCACCTCTTCTCTTCCCCCAAAGTCACACCCTCTTTCTCAAGGCTCCTCTCTCATATCCTGTTCTGCTTTTCCCCTCCCACCTGCTCTGGGCTGTTTTAAGGGTGATCTGGGCAGAGCGAGTGATTCAATCGATTTCCTATTGGATATCAAGGGAAGGTGAGAGAGTTGCAGCTTTGTAAGAAAGAGTCAGGAGGAGATACAGTCCCACAGGAAGCCAGGCTTTATGGACTGGGCACTGCCTGGTGCCACCAGCACGTGTTCCACAGTCAGATTTGTGGTTGTATATGGCATAGGCTGGTCAGGGCATTGGTGGGATGGGCAGGAGGGGGAAGATTTGGGGCTAGTTTGGAAAAAAACTTACCATGGGCCTCCCTCACACGATACCTCACCATTCCCCCTGGTAATACTCTCTAAGATCCCCCTGACACCCACCTGGGGAGGAAAGGAAGAGGAAGGAAGAAGTCTGGAAAAGAACAGGAAAAGAAAGGAGTGGGTTGAAATACGAACAAATGACATGTATAGAGGGCTTCATGTATACGATCTTACTCTATCCATACAAGCGGCTCCTGCAAGTACTGCCTTCATTTTATAGACATTCAGAGAGGGGTGAAGTGAAACCCCTGACCTTCCACTCAGTTGGCTTCTAATTCCCAGGCTAGCGTTCTTTGGCCTTCTCCCGTTAGCCTGAGGAGCGCCTACAGACACTTTCTTAGAATTAGCTCAGCCGTTCTATTTTATCTCCCCTTTTAGCCCCAGCTAAGTATTAAGCATTAGGAAAGCTTCTAAGCAAGGTAATCAACATTCATTTGCTTGTTCATTAGTTTATTCACTCAGTAAGCATTGATTATGTGCAGTTCAAGACTCTGAAAGAGTGAGGGGAGACAGAACTCTTCAATTCAGTGACATTGGTGAAGAAAGTTCTCCATTGCTTAGCTCTGGGCATTTTCTCCGCCTATTTCCCAAGCCTGCAATGCTCTCTCTTTTCATTTCTTCCTCCTGGCTTCCTTCAAGTCTCAGCTAAAATCCTGCCGTCTATGGAAGCCTTCCTCAACTCCATTTAATTCTAGTGCCTTCCTCTGCTGCTAATTTCCTATCTATCCTGTAGAGATTTTCTTTATACATATCATATTGTCTTCCCTATTCAATTGTGAGCTCCTTGAAGGCAAGGACTGTCTTTTGCCTTTCTCTGTAGCCCTAGTCCTTAGTACACAGTAGGTGCTTAATAAATATTTATTGACTGACTGGTAGAGTGCAAATAGGACTGACTCTGGAATCCAAAGGTCTGAGTCCTAGATCTAAGATCATATGAACCCTAGTTTATAATCTAGTGGGTGAGAACCTACATGTAAGTAAGACGTTCCATGCTCTTCAAATTTTCTGCAATCATCTTTTTAAAAAATTCCACTCTTATAGAAATGTTAGTTTTATTTCATAAATTAAAAATAAAATTAATTTAATTTTAAAAAATATGTATACCAGGACATGGTAGGTATTTTTGGCTTGCTTTGTTTCCTACAAAGTACTCCCTCAGGAAATGATTTTTCTTTACAAGGAGAGAAGTTGGGTGGTATACACCCTTCCTAAATGTAGCATCTGGAAGAGGAAAGAAATCAATTAGGGTTTTATATACACACACACACACACACACACACTTATATATATATCATGATATTGCTTCATTTAGCAATAATTACACATATACATATATGTATTATGATGCCATCACCCCAAGATGTGTGAACAATGAAGACAAAGAACTCTACTTCTGAGGAAGTAAAGTTGCTAGAAATGCAGGCAAGGGACCTAGAGGATGGCAGCAATGAAGGCCATGCATGTTCATACGTGGCAGCAGATAGAGGCAACAGCTGCCAGGGAAGGAGGGAATGACGTGAGTTCGTTCCTTGCCCAAGCCAGGAGTTGGGGGAATTGTGACAGTCTGGTGATGCTTTGGGGAATGCCTTGGAATGTTAAGACCACAAACTGAGAAACAGGTTGCAGACTGGGGAGATGGATGCAGGATCCAATAAGGGAAACAGACAAGGAGAGGCTGAAATTTCTCTTTAACAAGATCTTAAAGCCATTCGTTCTACTTGGGCTTCAATTATTATACAAAAAAAATTTTTCAAGGAGATAGGCAGGAAATAGTATTCACTTGAAAGCAGGACATAACTATTGCTTTGATGAAGGGAGATAGGATACTGGTTCTTTGTCTTTTCTTTACATGCATGTTAGTGAACCTGATCTACGTTTCATACCTTGCTCAGTTGAGGCTCCTAGGGGAACTCATTACCTTTAGTGGAAAGCTAGACATAAGCAAACTTCAGGCATTTGATTATTGAGAATCCTTCAAGTATGAACCCAATTTATGTGAGCTCGGAGTTTCATTTAGGGGCCATGGGTTACACATTTAAACAAATAATTATAAAATGTATTTTTAAAAGGAAAGTGCATTTTCCTCCCCCCACTCTTTTTTTTTTTTTTTGGTCTAGAATTGCTGTGACCCACAGCAAGTAGGTGTGACTTGCTTTCCTATACTTCAACCCAGATGTGAAAACTTCCTCCACTTGCAAAAATCAGCAACTTATAAGTAAGGTATAGTTTTACAGTGTTGACACTGGCAGTAAGAGGTTGAGTGACTTATCCAGAATCACATAGCTAGTATCTTCTGGATTGATTCTATCCTCCATGCCATGCTGTTTCTTTAATTTCTATATTTACTTCTTAGGGCTAATTTCATTCAATGTGTTATTTCTCATAGCATCATGGCATTTCTGGGCTTATCTCTACCTGTAGAATGGAAGACTTTGCTTGTCTTAAAAGAGTATCAGGCAACTGGAATCTAATCTTTCTATATGTGTAGGAATATAGGGGGTGAGAGGGCATATGGGAAAAACCCATTTCCCTGTAGCCAAATATTTCACAGAGCCCAATATTTTAGATTTAAAGGGGCCCAGACCCGCCAAGACAAAGAATGTTCTCTGAATTCAAGAAAAATAATTTCCTAAGGAGTCCTTTGTAGGAAACAAAGAAAGCAAAAAAATACCTACAAACATTGAAAAGAGTTTAGAGATCATCAAGAATGATAAAGTGTCTAAAGAGGCTGCCTTAGTGACAGACAAGGAGGAGATGTGACAAACGGCTATAAATATTAGACAGCTCTATCTTTGACACAGAAGAGAAATGACTAAGGTGGGGAGAGAAGACAATTTAACTACTATAGTAAATGCTATTCCCCATATGTAGCATGGGGGTGTCATCGTCTGACTTGAAGCAAAATCGCTGTCTCTGGCCTGTCCTGCCCCCATTCTTCTCCAAGAGAGTCTTTAATTCCTGACAGGAGGGGAATTTCTGCAGGAAGCTGGAGTGGAAGACCAATCTGCTCTCCTCAGAGAAAGTGGATACCAGGCTAGAATTATATTTATCTACTCCCTTAAATATTATTTGTCTAGGCTAGGAGATGTGGTTTCAGGTTCAGGCTAAATTTTGATCACTGTATCATTAATGGGGGAGAGAAGGAACTCAAGCTTTATATCCAAGCCTTGAGTTCCTTCTCAACAAATACTAGTTCCACAATGAACACTCATAGCAGGTAGAAAAGAAACCCATTTACCCAAATCCATAGCAAACAGAAATCAGGAAAAGTATATATAGGAGAATATATATGAGACAATGTAGAGTGAAGGAGCTCTCCCATTGGGAGTGAGGTCACTTAACTCAGTCAATAGAGTCCTAAAACTCAATTAAGAGGAACTTCTCCAAAGTCTCTAGTATAGCAAACTGAGGATAGGAACGTGGTGGAGATGACCAGCTCCTCTCATGTTGGCTTCTTCCCAGTGTCTTCTCCTTCAGCAACCTGAAGTGGAGTTGGCATCTTCCATCTTCTCTCTCAAAAGCTGGAGGCCAGAAGTGCCCAAAACCCAGAGACTGAAGAGACTTTTGAGCTGAGGAAATGAGGAAAATGTCCTATACCAACAGGCTTTGGGACTTGGGTTATAGCAGGAAAATGGGCTAAAATTTTAGTCAGGGCAAACTATAGTCCTAAATACTGTGGGAAAAATCTAGTCAATTAAATCTAAGAAACAACCTAGTGAAAATATTGTATTATTTCTTAGGATTTTACAAAGAACAATTTCCAAAACTAGGGAAGGGGTGAAATATACTTATTAGACTAGTTCTCAGGGATATAAGACCCCTTGGGGTCCTGAAACTCTTTCAGGAAGTCTATAAGATTAAAACTATTTCAAAATACTAAAATGTTTTCAATTCTAATGTGGTAAATATAAATAAATATAACCTACTTAAACACAAACTCTGGGGTAGCGGGGGAGTTTCCATTTTTCAGACTGTAAAGGGGTCCTAAGACCAAAATGTTTGAGAAATTCTGAACTAGATTACCTGCTCAGAAATTCTACATGCAAGAGGAGTGGGCTTCATCTTCCTAAGCAAATCTTTTCTATCTCTAATTTCAGCGATCCCATCCTCTTATTGAATAGGAATTTAATCTGGAACTTCCCAAAATGTCAATAAACAAAAGAGCAAACAACTTGAGGAAAAAAAAAACATGTTAGAATCAGAAGCTAGTGAAGCAAACTCTTAAGAAACAAGTTAAACAATGAGCTTCATTTCTTCTGATTGTTATTGGTTTTGAGATTACGTTTCCTTGATTCAATTGTCATGAAACGTTGAAAACACCAAGATGAAATGCATGTGCTAAGCTGAATTGATCCAAACCCTTCAACTTTCAGGGGCAAGCTCAATGTGTCAACATTGTGATATGGCAGCCAAAAAAAAAAAAAAGAAAAAAAGCTAATTTGATCTTTGACTACCCTGGGAGAGGCATTGTGTCTAAGACTAGGGAAAGGATGGTCGTCTGCTTTGATTTTGTCAACCCACATTTGCAGTATTATGTCCAGTTCTGGATACCACATTTTAGGGAGGGTGTTGATAATCTGGGGAGCATGAAGAGGAAAGTGTCTCAGGATCATGCAATAATAAAAGCAATTGAGAGCAGAATCATGAGAGCAATC